CGGTGATCCGGTGGCATTTCTAGTTCAATACACGCTCCCGCACCCACCCGGGACCCACCCTAACCCCCTAACCAACCTCACCCTTCCCCAATACCTCAACGCAAGTTGCCAGATCAACATCCGCAGGCGCTGGGCTCCGAGTCGGCCGGCGACAATATCGAGGTCGCCAAGTTGCATCATGCATGTACCTAAGAGCGACTAGTGTGTCAAGTGGTACCTATGCAACGCGCATGCCACACCACTGCAAGTGCTGCATGGCTGCATGTCAGGGCCCAGTCACCGTCAACATAGCTAACTTATAGATACAATCCACGGAGATTTTGGGGCGCGAAACAACTACCGTACCATAGAGGAGGCATTAAGACAACGAAAGTGTCGGATAAGGAAGCTGCTTACATTTGTAAGACGGTACTGTAGTTACACCAGCCGATTAGAGACACTCTGCGCGCAGCCCTGCTCTTGGGGAGCCGTCCATCTTCCTTCTCACGCAAAAAGCACCGTACAGCAGCGATGGCCCAAGCCGAGAAGGGCATGCTTAGGTGCCCCAGGTGCCGCCTTCTCCTCGTGAGTAACTTGCAAAAGACACTCGTATGCATGCATGAATACGGAATTTGGTTTCCGCTGAATGCTGGCTCGTGGTGGCTGCCGGGCCAAAAGGAGCTTCGATCTTGTCTGAATACGGGCTGGTTTGAAGTGGTTCTGTACATTATGCCCTGATCGGAGTTCCTTGATCACGTGACCTGATTTGAATGTCAGACTGACAAGAAAGGAGACAACTTCAAAATGTTGGGGCTCCCAATTCATCGTCGTCAAGTCGTCTAGCCTAGCTAAAATTCTTCTTTTGAAGCAGACGATCCTTCCTTCTTTCGATTCCTTGGCTGGTTGAAGAGCTGTAGATTCGGAGAGCCGCTTGAACACCCTGCTGTTCTTTGGCATGCTTTCACAGTCGTCTGTTATCTACTCCCTTTTCCAAACGCATGCTTAATGGCACTTCTAGGGTTAACCCACAAACCCTCTTTTTGTATGAAACAGCTCACAGCTCGACGGTTTGAAATTACAGACCTGTTTAAAGCGAAGTGCATGTAGTTAGAGGAGAGAGGGGAGAAGAGTTGGCATACGAGTTCAGATCAATTTTGGGGCAAGCTTTGTAAGCAGGGCAGCCAACGAGGTTACAAACCTGAGGGACTGTGCAGACTGCCTCGTTTGTTCTTTCCACCATCTTCGATAATTGCAAGTTAGAATCTATGCTGACCCAAGTGTTAAGCGCGAGAAGAAGAAAGAAGCGCCATTACATAGTACATCTGGGGGTCCTTGGTGGAATCGCCTGTCCATTCGCAGGACACTCTACCAAAGTTTTGCATTTTGCGAGTAGATGCGAAGCAACCCATGTTTTTCGTTGGAAGTAGCAACTTTGAGTCCTGAGCTCAACAGCTGCGGACAACATCGGCCGTCTGAATCAGTGCGGTCTCGTCTTTGGCCAAGTTTCACCAAGTCTTTCCGACGGAACTTCGTTGTCAGCGGATTTGCCCGTCACTGAACAACGGCGCCGATCAAGCGGTTAGGTCCGTTTCCAGAATGGGATTGACACTTTCTACTTCTCTTTGCAGGTTCTTTTGCTTGCTCTGCTGGCTTCGCCCGTCCAGTCCGGGACTGCTCGGTTGGAGTTCGCCGAGCACAACCTCCAGTTGACGGAAGCAACCACGCCCCTCAGTCAGAAGGTCTCAGGAAGAAGTTTCGGGGACAGCATCATTTTCAGGTTAGCAGAACGTACTAGCAGATGCCAAACTGTTGGGCTCGCAGGGAAGGATACGCGGAAAACATGTCATGCAAAGTGAAAGCGCATTTGCAGACCGTCGGTTGCCGCAAGCCGTCCCTTGCAGGTGTTTGCGAAGGTTTTGGGCGTTCGGTGCCCCCTTTTGATGTGGGGCGGCGAACTGAGAAGCCGTTCCAACCGACCGAAGCTATGAAGCGTTTCGATCGGCAGAAGTCTGCACGTGCAGACGTGGCGACCCAAGTCGTCTGCTGGACTGTGTGTATTATTAGCGAAATTCTGTGTCGATCCACGAGTATTTTGCTACTGCTAAAGGCACTTGAGCGCGCCTCAGACCCTCCACTGTTGCCACTCTGGCTCATCGGATCGCCTATGCAGATGTTTCGGAACGCTTCTACCTGTGCTTGACAGCCTGTCCTTCGTGAAGAATCTAGAGTGTCGTCTTGGTATTGGTTTTAAAGTTGGATCAATGTCTGCTCTGGCAGCAACTAGGGGTACCCAGATACCTTCCTCCGTTTCGTATGATGCTCACGAAGCTGCTAAGTGTACAGCCTGTTTCGGCATCAAAAATCACGATAATCCATACTTTGAGAACGTTCGACTTCCGCCAAACTTTTGCCCTTTTGTACGTAATCGACAAAATTAGATGGCGACACGATTTCCCGATTCTGAACCGTTCGATCTGGCGATCTTATCGACCACGCCCGAACCACCTTAGCTTCCTTCCGCAAGCCGGCGGATGCCACAACAGCTCAAACGGGGCGTAAACAGTAGCGACATCTTTCTTTTTAAGATTTTGTTCGCTTTTACGATCGCAAATTTGACTGCTTTACGCTAACAGCATAATCAACTGGAAAGTTTTGGAATTGCAAGCCTTGTCCCCACAGGAACCCCCTTCTGGACTTCAACACTATGGAGAACGTCGGCCACACGGAAGGCGTGTGCATTTACACCGTGGCGCGTGACGTCACCGGCGGCTACGAGCTTGAGTGCGATTTCACTTGCGTCCTAGATAAGGGCACCTTCACCGTCACGGTGAGCCGCTTTGTGTTTGCTTCGAATTTGACGTCAGCGCTATGACGTCAAACTTTAAGAAGATTCAGGATGTCGCCTTATGCATCGACTTGAGATTACGCGAAGAGGGGAGAGCGAGATGGGTTCGGAGTGGTTCGATAAGGATATTGCAGATCGTTCAAATACTTTGTTGCTGACTCCACGTCACTTGACATTCAAGGCACCGTGCTTCTGCTGAGTATCAAAAGGATTTAAGCTAGCATCCAAAAGAACGCGCTTTGGTTGACCCTCCGCTCCGAAGATCGCACACGGAGCTTGTCCCCTCCCAGCCTTCACGCAACGGCCCGGGAAAGGCAGGCATTACTTACCGCCCTTTCCATCAGAACAAGTCACTGCGAAAATGGATTGACATTCTAATGAGATCCATTTCGCAGAGCCAATAGACGGACGGGCCGTCCGCGATGGCGGTTGTGAACGGAACCGGAGGCCACTTGGGAGCCACCGGGGTCTTCGAAGAACAATCTGTTAACGTTATCGGTTTATATAAATTGTATTGGTTCCACAGGGCCAATGGACGGACGCGCCGTCGGCAATGGCGGTCGTGGGCGGAACCGGAATCTACTCGGGAGCCACCGGGGTCGTCCAGCAGAGCAGGCTCAAGCACGACAAAGCGACCGGGGCTGACCTGTTTGGGCTCAACATTCGGATATACGCCCTTCCTGAGATTCAGCTCAAACCCCTGGGACCCCATGATTCTGAATCCGGTGTTATCGTGTAAGGCTTTTTAAGGGAATGATTCAGCAGGCGCACTTGAGAAAGGGCTCGATCAGGTCTGATTCGATCCAGAACCTGGGTCGATACATTACTGATTGCTAGCTTCTTTGCAACACGATCGCTTTCAACGATACGTACTTTCCAGAAGGAAGCTTCTTTTCAAGTCCTACAATTCAATGGACATCACAAAGACCTCCGTCGAGCAGCTGGGCCATGTTCAACCTCAGGTTATCTGGTCTCTGAGCAGGCTGTCCCAGATTTTTGAGTACCCTCGTATACCCATATGCGTATAGCGGGAGCGGCACATGCAGCCGGTTCGCTGCTGACGGTTTTTACTTGCAAATCAGAAATTGAGAGAACCGGGTTTAGTCCTCGCATTAATGCATGGATCGACCGCTTATTTCGACCTGCTGTGCTTGCCAGGTCTCGCGGTCGCACTTTCAATTCATCACTTGCATGCATGCATGCACCATATGGCATTGTTTGTATATGTTTAATCAATCCCTAATGATGGTAGCTCGTGTTTAAGTACACATATGATGCAGCATATGCAGTGGTCACTTATCGGCCATGCATAGATTGGGGCGGCACATGCACTGATATAAGCATGCGCTGGATGATCGGATAAGTTAACCAGCAAATTATGATCATGCATCATGCAAGCTCGAGAGCTTAAGATCGCAAGGCCGGCCGGCCTAGCTGTATTCCAATGATGCCGGGAGTCATGCTATGAAAAGCACGTGATTTAAATTGCTCGTGCTGCCAGCCAGCATCTACTGATACGTGACAAATCAGGCGGATATACATGATCGTCCGTGGCCCGGGCCCCAGGGTCGGCCCCGTTCCTTGGGCTGGCATGCGCGCGCGCATTTTCTTAAGTTTCTTCAGGAACCCGTCATGACGGGGCCCTCCTCTGTTTACCAGAGCGCAGTATCCTCCCACCGTTCAGGAGGAACGGAGAAGCCCCACCAGATCCACATCTGTTTGCGACGCTATCATGTGGGTCTTCGAATTGTCTCTCTTTTCGTGGGACGCGGTAGTCGCCAAAGCAGCCTTATCAGTTATCACGACGCACTGGAATTTCGGAGAAGTTGTAACTGCCCTTGGCCCTGAGCTTCACGGACGGCACGTTGCCGTGCGGTGGCCAAGCAATAGCGGCTGTTAGCCTATCTACTCCAAACGAACAATTGTATGCAAAGAGGTACGCAGGCTGTCTTTGCTCCTGTCTTCCGGGCCCGTCGCTAGCAATGGGTCCTATAGTTCTTCCAGGATCCCATCGTGCAAGCCGTTCGTAATGAATTGTCTGCCGTCGGCATGCGCCAAACAACCCGCCAAGGTAGAGTCTTCACATCGCGGGAGAGAAACTGCTAAGCACCTGCAGGCAATACAAAGTGCGTCAGCCCCCTTAATTAAGCTTCCTTTGCTGACATCACTTCCCACGCCAATGGAAAGACCCTCTTCACGTGTACTATCAATTGCTCGTTCAAGCTAGAAGGTGCATCGACGCTTGGCGCACAGATTGAATCAGGATGCTGATGATTGGTTGAATGATGATGTGCAGAATAACGGCAGTGCTTTCGATCTCCAACACCTGAAAGGCGGTCCTTCCAGGCCGATGCAGCGGACCGTCGCAAGTCGAGAGGCCTAAGCCAAACAGGCAAGAGAATCAGACAGCATTACAAGTAGTGCGGCTGCACCCGCGAATCTTACCCGGTTCACGGACAACGAGTGGTCCGATCGCCTTGACAAAGCTCGACTTTGATGGCTAGTCCTGTCCGCCCCTCACGCGCAGCACCGATCCAACAACGACAGGGCCCGTATTCCTCTCTGTGCAAGTCCGTTGTCCGCGAGCGGAGAAGCGGAAGCAGACGCAACATGGACGGAAAGAACGTGCGTGCGCCAATGCCTTCCCTCCGCTGCCCAATCCCCCTTCGCTGCTCAATGCGTGGTCCGCGCCCCAGTAAGCCGGTTGGAGCATCTCGGGAGCTTAACAAAGTCCCGTTGTTACCGGTGTCATCGTCGGCCCAAGGCACTTAGAAGAGCCGTATCAACACGCTTAACGTTTTCCCTTTACGCCTGTTTATCTCAGAAGAGGTTGCGGGCTCCAACGTTTCTTAGCCCGCGGCTAAGTCCGCTTTGCAGGTCGGGGGTTCCGCCGAGAGAATCTCTTCCGGTGCCGGAGCGATACTGATCGGTTCCGGGGCAGGGTTTGCGGATATTGCGGGTTGGGGCGTCGAGGGTCTGTGCGCCGTTCCGACGTGTTGGAAAAACATCTGACCCTGCTGGTTAACGGAAACCACGAACTTCTGACCCGGGGGGAGGGGAGCGGCCTGGCCGTTAGCCTGCGCGGCCTGCTGGAAGAGGGAGGCCATTTTCATCTGGTGCATCTGCACGGGAGGGCGGAATCCGCGGGTCAGAGCGGAATACAGTCATGGAGCTGCTGGAAAAAGGTGGTCGTTCTCATCTGATGCATCTGCACGGAAGAGCGGAATCCGGGGACCAGAGAGGAACGACGGACGGAGTATAATGTGGGGCGCGTTGAAGTGGTCGTTCTCATCTGGTGCGTTTGCAAAGCTGAATCCGGGTCGGTACCGAAAAACGACGTTACAAATGCATGGCGATCCATGCGCGGCCATCGTCTCCAACCGGAAACGTTGGATGGTTAACTGACTGCGCTTGTTGCTCCGTTCACTTTCTTCATCTCAAAAATTCTCCTGCCACGTTCAAATGAACCTGATACTGCCCTGACGACTCTGCCGCGATCCCCGAGTCATCCCGAGGATTTCGAGAAGTAGGTGCTCTAATTAGCGTCCAGATCTTTTAGTAAGGGCCGTCAGCGTCTAGTTTCCACGCTTCTGTGGTCTTGAAAGCAGACTAGGGAAGAAGGTGATGCGGATATCGAAATCCCTGATACGAGATCGATTCCCAATCTCGTATCCCTGAGTGTATCCCATCCCATCAGAGGTCGGGATGTCGGGCAAGTGTACTGTTCACAATCGTCCAAAGCAACTCCATGAAGCCTGGACGTTTCGACCAAAGACCACAAGCTCGACAGGATAATTACTATCTAACCGCGCATGAATTGCCAAGACCACCAGCGCTGAACAACAGGGCTGGTTTTAAGCCAAGAACCTTTCCAAGACCTTATGCAGACTACCGCGCCCGAGCTCCGAAAGCAGATCTGTTGGCGCGCCATGGAACTTCTTTCAGTCGACAGAAATGCTGTCCAGTCGTCTCGTTCCCTCCCTCAAACGAGAGTCGTTGCAGAAACAGAGACTTGAAGTCCTAGCTGGGCAGCTTACTAGTCCAAAATCGAAGAGATGCGGGCCTAAGCAGAGGAAAGTTCTCTCACCTGTCGCTGCTTGTGACGTGCCAGTATGTGTTCGTGGTTGATAACCGTATCAGCGGATGGGGGAAACGGCACCATGTTGTGAACGCCCACGTGGCGCCAGAAGGACAGGGCGGGGCACCGGCCCTTCGAACGAACGATAATCCACAAAAGTGTCAATTTCATGACCGATAAGCCCTGTGAAAACTAACGTCAAGCCCAGGGGCCGACTCTGGGGTTAGCTTGGTGGTTAGTTGGGTTCGGGTGCGATGGGCCGGGTGCGAAGCGCAGATATGTCCGGGTTTGTCTTTGCCAGGTGATGAAAACTTGTTTACCCATAAAGGTTACTCTCAAATGATTGAGCGTTGTAATCCGTTTTAGACGACGAGGGAGAAATTCGCCAGAACAATCTCAAAGGCCATCGGAGATTCTCTATACGATACGAATCCTGCCACGTATTCAATTTGGGCGTTGCCAAAAGTACTCGAGCTTCGCACTTGATTGGAGATTGAGTACTGGATGTCAAAGAACCTGTGTAGTCCCGCCCCAGAAATCCGTCGACTGGAACGACCGATAAAACGACTTCAGCATCGTAAGCAAAGTCTGTCAGCTCGGCTTTCCACGAAGGAAGCACTAAAAGCCAAAGGCCGTCTTTCCATGTGGCAGTTTGAACGAGGCCGCAGCACAGAACCCGTCAGAAGACTGATAAAAAAGTGTCCTTAAAGCCTCACGTTGCCGCTGCATAATGACGGAGAATGAGAGAATTTTGTGAAAGTGGATAAGAGGCGCGCCAATTTGATATTCCGGAATTGAAGGAATGTCAGAAAGATATCAACACCCGGTAAAAGATGATGAAAACAGAACAGAAGTATGGAGAAATAAGAAAAGAGAAAAAGGAAGAGTGGTCCTGCGCTTACCACCAAGGGCTCAACTCCCTCATCCGTCCAGATGTCCCACGTGGCCTCCTCTCCTTCCGTTGCTTCCGTGACGTTTCTGCTGACGTCATTGACGCGAGCCGGGTCCTCAAGTGCCTCCTCTTGTGCTGACGCCTCGATGACGCCTTGCAGAGGGGATGCCACATTCGGCGAAGGACACGTGGCAGCACCAGAGCCGTCGGTTGGACTCTCGCTGGGGTCCGGAAGCGTCCGCGGTGCCTCGCTGCCTGGGCTGCTGACGTCAGCCGTCGACTTTGCGTCTCCAGCCACGTCTTCTTGGCTGACGTCAGAAAGAGCGCCATTAGAGAGCGGGAGCTCGCTCACAGGGGCGCCAGTATTCCGTCCCTTCGTTTCCGTGGCCAATACCGCGGCCAGTCCCGCTCCAGCCGCAGTTCCGTTCTCTTCCTCTGTTAGCCGCTCCGTTTCCGCGGATTGCACCGTCACGCTTCGTCCAGACAGCGGCTTATGAGCGTCACTAAAACCATCTTTTACAGCCTTTCCATCACTCGAGATCAACTCCGGGCCATCTTCCCGTACACTCACAACGCCCGATAAGGAATCTACGCCTACGGCTTCCGCAACTTTTACCGATTCCGCATTTAGCCCCCTCTTCCCGTCGTCAGCAGTTCCGCTTCCGTCTTCACCAGTTCCGCTCGAAGGGCTACCGTCAAAGTCTTTCAAAGCGTTACTGGACCCCGCTAGAGTCTCTCGCCCTTCTGAAGTACGTTCGTTCCTCTGCTTTCCAAAATTCCCATCCGTTTCCGATTCTACAGGCCAACCTTTTGCCGAAGGCGACCCTTCCAGTCGCGGAGAAGAGGGTTCTGATCGCCCTTCTGAGAGTGGTTCAGTAGCAGCTTCCGGCTGCTCCTTTGGATCCGTCTCGCTCCTCGACTCGGTGAATGGCTCAAGGGACAAGTCGGGGCGGATCGGAAACAAGTGGCCCTCCGTGCTGAAGACGTACCTGCCACAAGAGAAGATGAAGATTTTGGACTCCCACAGACTTTGGCTGATAGGGCTGGTCGGAGCTCTGTGAAGCGAAGAAGGGAGCACGTTAATAGGTAGGCGCCGGATAAGGCCGAATAGGCGAAGCAAAGGTGGAGTTGGTGTTTGCGCTAAAAGTAACTACTCAGTTATTAAGAAATCTCTGTGGGATGACCAGGGCTCGGGCAACTCTGCGTCAAGCGCTGTACCGAACAGGAAGCTTCCCCTTGAGATACGTTTCTACTCAAACGAAGGGAACAGGGAAAGACGAGATTCATAAAAAGTTCGATCCTTTTTGCATAATAGTGGGGTTCCTGGAGGCGCCAACAGCAGAGAACAGCTGACTCAGCTGAGCCAAAGATGATTGCTTACGGGTAAGGTCCGTTTTCCACCAGGTTGTCCCCCTCGAGCGCCGAATCGAACAGCAGCCACAGATATTTCACCTGCACACGTCATTATCAAAACAGTGTCACTTTAACGAAGCGAAGCCTTTGATCAACAACCACAAATGTTCTAACTGCACCGCTAATCAAGAAAGAAAACTCTATAGATTTGACAAGCCAAGACCTCGTTTCATTGGTTCCTACGAGACTCTTTACTTGAAGAAGCATATCGACTATCCATCTATCACAGTCTTTGGGTTGAATATTTCCCTCGACTGCTTTCTATTTAGCTGCTCAGAAGCCCCTGAAAAGGATCACAGGAGACGCAATGCATAGAGCGTTTCTGCTTGACTGAAGTCCAAAGGACATCTATATGCCCGTCGATATGCTTGCGGTTTACGCTCTGCTCGAAAGTACCTGAGTCTAGCTCCAGCATCTTGACGCTAAAGGAATTGGAAGCTGACTTCATCATCGATAGCTCACCGTCAAGGGAAAGAAACGGCTCAGAGTTGCCGCACTGGCTGACTCCCCGTACGAAGCTCTGTACCTAAAAGTCTATCGATTCCGGCATCTGTGCTCACCGTTTCGGAGAGGAAGAAGCTCTCCATGTGGTCCTCCTTCTCGTGCGTCTGGACGTCCGTGACGTGGCAGTAGCCGCAGGGACACGTGGCACCATACTGGATGCTTGCCACGATATCTCGGCCCACGTGGAGGTACATCGGGTCGCGTGTCGCGCGGTAGAGCCAGTACGTGCTCTCGGCCAGTTCAGGGCGCAACGGATAGCTGTTTTGGCCAGGCTGCAGAGGTTTTAAGGGTTTCGTAAGAGGAGCTTGAGTTTGAAGGAAGCTTAAAGGTTTCTGCCGACTCTGGGGATGCTATTCGACCAGAAAGCAGTAACAATAGGAACGATTAGTCAAGGGGGCAGCTCTTGTCGCCGGGCTGCAGCGATTTTCAGGGTCGTAAGCCAGTAAACGGTTTCGGCAAACGTCGGAAAAGGGACATCCGGGCTGCAAAAATACAAGGGTTATGGGTCGTCTACAGGAATCACTGAAGACACAGTGGAGGAAACACGCGCGCGAAAATTAGATGCGAATGACTTGAGGCACTATGGAGCAATTGACCTCGGCGAGCCCGCAGCGGCAAGTCGGAGCAATCATTGCAATATGAGCGTCCTCTGAGTGGACATCAAGTGTTGCAGAAATTGAACTTGGGGATGACGCAAACGGAAGTTAAGGCGAGGGAATGATCAGAGAGTTGGGGAAAAAACAAAAGTCAAACCGACTGGTCTTAGAGAACAAGCGCAAATATGGATACCTGCACATCTTGGTTGACGAGATTGAAACCCTCGGGCGTGAAGCCAAAGCGTCGCCAGACTCCGTAGAACGCGGCGTGCGTCTGCGCGGCAGCTTCCACGTCACCCGCCAGGACCTTCGTCATACCAGGGGCTGACGTCAGCGGTTGAATGGGGGATTGGGCAGTAGTAGTTCTCCGTTTGCGAAACGGGAGCTGAAGCGAGTCGTATTACGGCCGAGCTACTAGATCTGGGGCATGTCGACCAATCAAGATCGCTGAGGGACAAGCTTCGCAGTGAAAGAATCGATCGCTTCAATGCAATTCCAGCCTCCAATGATAGCCACTTCCTGGAGGAGGTTCACGCGACAAGGGGGCAACTTCGAGTCGTCGGTGATGAGTTGAAGGGAAAGAATTTGATGAAACGGGCAGTAGCGAAGGTCCTGGACGGTACAACTGTCCAATAAGTGCGAGGTTAAGGGACAATAGGAGACACTGAAGTACCAGAGTTGAATGCAGCAGGGCAGAGGGGCTTAGAAAGGGGAGGCAGAACCTTCCGATGAGAAAGAGAAACGCAGGGGAGCGTGAGCATAGGACGAAGTGGAAGAGCAACGTTGGGCGCTGGTAGCTGCAAGCTTTTAAGACCGGTGTTAGGAAAGAGGAGGCTCAACCCGAAGACTTCGAATCGAAATACAAGGAAATCAAGGATAATATGCAAGCAAAGGATGCCATAATATTCCAAGAACGTTGCAGATCAGCCAAAGAACAAGGTAAAGAACTTCTGACATGAAGGCCGGGCCATAGTGCCTGAAGGCTGTTGACGGGCGGCCAGAAGACGACAGTTCGGAAGAGCGGAAAACTGAAAAGGATGAAGCAATATTGAGATTACTGATTATTGAGATTATTGAGATTACAGAAACAGAAAGCAACACATACTTCTTTTCAGGCCAACAAGCTTATAGCAATAACAGCCAGAATGTCTCAGGACAATTTGGAGCATCAAACGAATAAAGCGAAATCAACGGGTCAAGACACCAAGTGACTAAAGAAAGACAAGTCTCTTCCATCTCTCACCTGCAGTCCTGGTCAGAACGCCTGGAGGCCTGGAGGCTGTTGAAGAGCGGCCAGACGACCAATGGACCAAAAGGGGACTCGCACGAACAACACAAGTTACAGAGGATGAACACAACATACGAGCATAAGAGATAGGCAGTACTCAGATGTAGTGCTGGCACCTGCAGTCCCTGCCAGAATGCCTGTGGCTGATGAAAGAGCGGCCAGACGATACGGATCGGAAAAAACCGGAAACCCTAAGACATAAAGAATGGCGGAATAGAAGATGAGCAAGACTACGCAACGACGAGACTCGGGGAACCGAGCAGAGCATGAAAGTAATTGACGGAATGGCGCTCGCACCTGCAGTCCCGGCCAGAACGCCTGGAGGTTGTTGAAGAGCGGCCAGACGACAAGGTTCGGGAAGAACGGAACGACTAACAGAAAAAAGCGGTGGAAAACACAGACGAGCAGGACTAAGATAAGCAACGAAGGCGTTCAAGTAACCGAACAGAGAAAGATAGAATCACACCTGCAGTCCCGGCCAGAATGCTTGGAGGCTGTTGAAAAGCGGCCAGACGACCATCCCGTCATCCATGTTGACCTCCAGGTACCACGGCGGCTGGTGCAGGTGCCGCTGTGCGGCGGCATATGCCTCGCGGAACATATGCAGATACTCGTCGCCGCCCAGAAGCAAATGCCCCTTCAACAGGTACTCGTAGAACGAGTCGATGCTGGTCCCAATGCCAGCATCCTGTACGTACCACAAATATTCAAAGAAGGCCTTTAGTTCAGTAGGTTGAAGGGCTACGGAGGAGGGCTTTGCGGGAAGTGCGTGAGTGATCTTCGGCCAGCCAGAGGTGATGCTCTTTCAGCAGGTACTCGTAGAACGAGCCGATGCTGGTCCCGATGCCCGCGTCCTGCGCAGGATACCGGGCGTTCAAATTTTTGTAGTCCAGGGTTTGACTTCCACAAGGTGCAACTATCTGTAGCTACACAGGAGTAGATGCCCCTTCAACAGGTACTCATAGAACGGATTGATGCTTGTGCCGATGCCGGCGTCCTGCATAGAGGGGACAAAGGCTTGAAGGTTTCCTTCAAGTTAACCGGGTTGTACTGCGGAAACATGTGCAGGTACCCATCGCCGCCCAGCAGTAAATGCCCCTTCGGGAGTACTCGTAGAACGAGTCGATGCTGGTGCCAATTCCGGCGTCCTGCAAAGCACGGATGCAGGGCTTCAGCTATCCGGAGTCAAAATTATGCATCACGGAGTGTGTGTGTAGGTTTTCATTGCCGCCCAGCAGTACATGGCCCTTCAACAGGTACTCGTAGAACGAGTCGATGCTAGTCCCGATGCCAGCGTCCTGAACTCACGATCATGTTAAATCAAAACCTTCGATCCAATAGAATAAGGATTACGGAGGAGGGCTTTGCGGGAAGTGCGTGGGTAGTCCTCGCCCATTCGACCATAAATGATTATTCAGCAGGTACTCGTAGAACGAGTTGATGCTGGTCCCGTTGCCAGCATCCTGCGTAGAGGAGTTACACACCGCTTTTGGCCGTTTGAAAGCCACCGTTACGCCTTTCCAAATGTTGACAGGTTTCGTAGCCACCCAGCAGTGAATGCCCATCAAAAAGCCTTGTTGATCAGGTGCTCAAAAGCTCTCGCGGCCCCCAAGCAGGGGTGCGTTCGTGCAGAATCAATGCTGGGACCGATCGTCCACACGGAAGGTTGGACTGATGCACATATGACTTCATGGGCAATACCAAGCGCATCTTCGAGAAGACCCGCACGAAAAGCCTCTGTTCTTGTAACCTGTATCAGTTGAGCATTGAGCAAAGCCCGACAGACAGATCGAAAGGAAATTTGAACTCAAGTCTGACTGGTTTAAGATTTCCTCCTAGTCTACCCGTCCCCTTCTTCTCGTCCAACATAAGTGCGCTTACCCTGTGCGTCCATTCGCCGGAGTAGACGTCAATATGCGCTCCAACGAGACCGAGGTGGGACCGGCGCGACCACAGGCCGCGCAGCGAATTGAGCGCCATGTCTTCAAACACTGCACAAAGTGTGCGTAACGGGTTTGACAGAAGAGTGAGAAACGCTTTTACCAAAGGAGAACGTTCTAACCAACGTGACGCTCTTTGGATGAACAGTAAGACACGCTTCTTCCAAACGAGAGGAACTCTCAGAGCGAACGCTCGACCTTAGGGATACTTGCGTTCGGCGGAATAACATGCTGTGAAAATACGTCGCATTTTCAACTTCTTTCTCTGAGTGGGTGCAAGGCAACAGAAAAGCACGGGGTAGAAATGAAGGATGGATAAGAGAAGGCGGCCACCACTCCAAAACATCGTTTCGGCTGAAAAGAAAGCCGTTTTGATATCAGAAACGCGTTGTCACAACCGTTGAGAGGGCGCAGGAAGGCGCCTGCCCTTGTCTACTGAGAAGCGCATTTTACCACGGTGTTTGTCAAAGTAACATCTGTGCGTGCCAAACAGATTTCACGATCTTTACGTACTCAGTCCTGCAGCCTCACAACCATCGCAACAGCTGAATGGGCGACTCATCGAACGCCCAATTCAGGAGAAGATGGAGACGAGCACAAGGGCATGCTGACCTGGATCTTTGGTCAGCCGGCTGAGCATGCCGAACTCCAACGCCAACGTACCCCCGCCTGCTGTAGACGTCACCGTGGTCTCCTCAGGAAGGACGCCGGTCTGCAAATTGACCGAGCCGAAGGGGATGCCTGCAAATAGCGGCAAGCGTGATGCATGAGAAGTCTTTTTGTGAATGGTTCTGTCCATATCACCTGCTCAGTAGGCCTGGCTTCTAGTCGTGAAACCCCTGATCAGCCTGTGATACTTCCAAAGGATCAGTGGGACTCGCACAAAAGCGGTCCGCTGCAGTTCAGTGTGCTGCAGCATGAAGAAGGTGAGTCGTTCAAGGAACTGTGACACTTTGTGAACAGCGCAAACACAAGACAATGAAAGAAGGGTCCTGTAAGCCTGCTTGACGAACCTGTTGCAGTGTAGAACGCCGGGAGCAGGCGCCGCCCCAGGTCTTCCGCCAGCTCTAGCAGCTTCCCAGTGTATTGCTCCACCGCCATGCCTGTGCTGGGGTCCGACGCCAAGAGGTGTGCGGACAAGAGACCACCCAACACTCGGATGTTGGTCTCAAACACGGACACTGTCTGATTCTGCAGGGGGAGCAGAGTCCTTTTCTTCAGTTATACCAACATGTTGACGACTTGAAGCTGGCTGTTGGAAGGCGATTTCTCTCAGTTGATTAGATCTGTGACTCAGGTTCTCAGCACATAGCTTTTGGAGTTCATGTGTCCTCTGATCGAGACTCTGAAAAGATTGTCCCACGCTCAGCCACGGTGCTTCGAGAAAAGCGAGCAATGGTCCTCCTATTCTGTCAGGACATCTTCGGGTGTTGAACAGATCTGGCATGCTCCGAAAGCCGGTGGGCAGGGGGAGATCACAGAGAGCAAACACAGGGGCTTCGATTGAGTGCTTTAATCATTCGTCATGGCACCTCTGGTTAAGAATAATCCTTGAGGAAGCCATACGAAGAGCACCGCAACTTCACTTGGTGGTGTGGTCAGGAGGAGAACACAGACAAAAAGTACACGGGCTTTCATCGAGTGCTTCAATCAGCATTTCATTATGGCATATCTGGTTTTAAATGATCCTTGAGGAAGCCATATGAAGAGCACTGCAACTTAATTGGTGGCTGATCGATTTTGTATAAGCAGTATCAGCTCAGTTCCTTGTCTAGGCTGGGCTGATGGTCAACTGAACACCCCAAGGTTCAATGAATACATGCTAATTAATGACACATACTAAGCACTGATGTCCGAAAGGCAACAGATCAATGGGATAGTGCAGCTATTTCACCTTGTCAAAGTTAACATTACACGAAACCCATCGTACGGCCCTGGCAAACTCCTTTATGTCTCCCAGAAGTGCGAGGGTGTCCATAGCATCTATTAGCGTAAGCGAGTAGCCCCCCAAGGAATCTTCCCCACTGCAGCTTAGCGGCCGCAGCTCATCAAGCGGGAATGCGTGCTCCATGTAGTTGTTGTATGCACGGTAGAACATGGACTTCACTTCGTCTCGGAGCTCGAGCGCCTCGTCCCGCGAAACTCCCTCAGTTTGACAATTGACAGTGAGGATGCCGCTAAGCAGACAGATCAAGAACAAGACTGCCCTGATTGCAGGCGCCATATTCACACATGTGCTCTCGTGCAGCAAGATCAGAATCCTGATTGGAGGACAGAAAGTACTGCCCTGACCACTTGTGCACTGATTCAATGCAGTATCAGGGCAGCTGACCAATGCAATCCGCTTGCTCAATTTTCATTAGCACCACCACTTCTAGCATCAACGGGTATAAATCATCGAAGCGTTTGACAGAGTCTTCTGTTTCATCTTGCAGTAGTTGCAAAGCTTGTGCCAGGGCTTATGTACATTGGCAGCTACTTGAAACTTTTCCGCTGGCGCTGGCCGCCATTTTCTCAGCCTTCTGCTGCCAGTGCCAGCGCGGCCGCCTCGCTCTTCGCCGTCTTGGCATACATGCGCACCACTGCAAGCTGGCCACCGCCTTTTCTTATCATACTAGTTGAAGTCAAGTTTGTCGGACACCTTGCATGTCTAGATTTGGTCAAAACGGCGAACTTTTTCCAACCGTCGATGACCACCACTTACGACCATCCAACGGTTTTGAAGGAGGCATAGATTTCCGGAGCAAGGTCGTTGAGCGTATCGGACGGTTCAGAGGGACTCTGAACACCCATGTGAAAGCGTGACGGCTAAGAATGAGGGAGGGACCTCCTTGTTTTTCTGACAGTGACAGCCTGTCCCGGCGCCATGGTGTCCCTGAGTTCAGGAGGTGAATGAAGCACAGAGAAGGGGCCTGGGGAGCGCGCCAACGCCAAAGCGTAGTGGCTGGCGGGTCAGGAAGGGTCCGCTCAAGGGCTGTGAAAGCGGGCATTTAATATTGAACAAGCTGTGTGTGTTTTCAAAGGTGGACCTTGCCGCGGCAGGAGGAAGCACCTGAAAGCGAGGGGAAGGGCGTAAAATACAGCTAGTCTTGAGCTGCATTGTTGCAGGAGGGAGCAGATCTTGGGTGGCAGAAGTCTTTTGTTGGAGTCACTAACTGAACACACACTGCTTCAGGTCAGAGAGGTGAGTAAGGGGAGCTCTTTGTAAGAATGCTGGGGAGGCAAGAGCAGCTTTCGGAAGCTGATGTTTGTGAACTTATCCTGGCTCTCTGCTTGTGCTTCTCAGAAGAGTAGTACTCAATTGTAGAAGTGTTCGAATTTAGAGTGAGGGTAAAATGGGAAAGGTACGCTCCCAAGCATTTGTTTCTAGCATAAGTCCATCCACTTCGCAAAGGTGGTCCCTCAGAGCAGCAGACGCACATAGCAGGAAGGCTAGTTGGAAAATGGTGTTCAACTTGGTCACTTTGCAGCTTTCACGCCTCTGCTCATTTTGCTGAGTAGCAAGCTTCACTGCAGGAACCTCCATGCAGGGATTCCCCTCTTGCATTGCTCAATACAACGTTGAATGCAGCTCAAGCAAGACTAGTGTTTGTTCAGAAGAGGTCATCGATGTTTGCAGTCTCTTGCATTCCGGCTCTGCTACCGTAGTTGGTTCATGCCCACAACATGGGGCTGTAACCAAGGCTGTGCCTCACATGCACAGGCGCCTCTTTGGCAAGGGCCACAAATTGCAGAGACAAGCCTAGTAAAAATCCCCCCAAGAGCTTTAAGAGGAGAAAAGCCTTTCACCTTAAGAAGAGATCTGTAGTTTCATTTGTCGCGGAGACTCTCTATCAATCAGAATGCTCGTAATGTTGCAAACCTTCCAATGTGTGCTACATCATGGTTATTGAACTACCTTGTTTTACCCTCCTTGCAGGTGTGTTTGGACCAGAGTTACATGGCTCCCAGCCGAGCCGGCAGAGCTCGGCAGCATTTCCTCCTCCTCCTAGTTGCTGCTTTGGCACTGTCCTCACTCGCAGAGAGCAAGGACTACTACAGCGACCCTGCCGGAAAGCTGCACGGCAAGTTACCAACCACTGTTGTACAAGAGGCTGTCGGAGCTAGGGTCAAGCACAGTAACCCTAAAAGACAGAATGGGGTTGAGAGAGAGACGCAGCCACTGGAGATGTATAACATGCTCTCAGAGGGAGGCGACGAAGTTCACGAGTTGACGGCTGGCAAACTTGGCGGGAAGTCTGAGAGGAGCGTAGAAAGGGACGTGTGGAGCGATCCTGAGGGGTCGTTGAAGGGCCGCTTCTCCGATGAGGTTATCCAAGAGGCGGTGCGCGGAGAGCGGAGTCAGGGGGGAAGCTCTCATAAGAAGGGGAGCCACTATGGGGACGGCCAGCGGCCGAAAAGTGGTAGAAATGAAGGGGAGAGTGCAAAGCCGCTCCAAGTGGTTGACCTGCTGTCAGGTGAAGTGTCTGACTTGCCGGCAGGCAAAGCGCAGAAGATTGTGAAAGGAGAGGCGTCCGAAAAGGGGAGTGCAGCAATCCCGATTGTGGGAACTAGAGAGAGGGCCCGGGCGGCTACGCAGGGAACGGATGTCGGTAAGCTGCACAGCAATCATACCCGGGAGGGGCGAGGCGGCAAGAACAGCACGAGGACGCGGGAGCAGTCCCTGAAATGGGGGCGCAAGGGCCGGCCAACAATTGCCAGCCTGCTCAAAAAAGACCTCTCGGACGAGTTTGAGAGGGTTGCTGCCAAGCTCATTTCTGCGTCCCGGAAGAAAGCGCACAAGCTCCCCTTTGCGGCGCAAACCCAGGCCCACTCTCACGGACTGTCGGAGGCGACACAGCACGGGCGGTCCCTCGCCGAGAGGAGGGAGCTGGCTGAGGCCGACAACCAGAAACTTAACCTCATTGGTATAGTTACACAAACCGCGGCGGTTAGGGCCGTGATTAACGCCACTGAGGGGGTCCCGGTGTCCATCCCCGCAGCAGGAAATGGGGTTGGCCTGGTTGCGGTGAAGGTTAGCACAACCTCGCTGCAAACCACGGGGCTCAGTCTCCAAGGTGTCACCATTCCCCCGGGGGTGCAAGTTCCAGGAAACACATCGACAGTAATCCTGGTTTTCAGCGAGTTTACGGAAAACCCGTACGGTTTCACTAACCAGACGGTGGTCGCGCCAGTGGTCGGGGTGACGGCGTACGATGCAGCGGACCCGAACGCTGGGGCGGCAAACAGCACGTTGACTCTGCAAGCGACCCCGGTTGCGCCTTTCCAGGTAGGTACAATAAACATGTCTTTGTTTTTGCTTTGATGATAGTCATGTCAAGTCTTCCTGCGGGTTCCAAAGGTGTTGCCCGTGCGTTCATCGATCAGCAATAACATGGGCCTCAGATGTGCAGCTGGTGATCTTGCAAGAGAGTAACTCAAAAAGAGAGTCATGTGATAGTAGCTTATACAGTACGTTTCTTTGATGAGACTTTGAAGACCAGCTGATTGAGCGGCAGCAGCACCCCACCGTAGAGTGCACCATTTGCGCTCTGAAGGTCCTCGTCTTTCGCTAACGGCCACATCCTGTCATTTTGCCGCTGTTGGAATACTGCTTCCCAATTCCTTCTTTCATACAGTCTTCAAGTATTTTACATTCAACCTCTAGTTACTGTTCAAAGGAACCAGCCTTTCCCGCTCCAGCTACATACAGTCTCACACCTTTTTTCCTCCACCTCTAGTTCGTGTTTAACACGACCCAAGGAGCCGGCCTTTCCTGCTCGAGCTACAACGCGACTGCCGGCCAGCTTTTGAACACAACCACAACGACGAGGGTCGCTACTGGGGGAAGGGCCGTTACCTGCACGGCAACTAGTCTGGGGACATACACGGTCGTCAGCACACTGGCGGTTGCGCCCGTTCCAGCCCCCGCCCCCGCACCGGGCCCTGCGCCGGTGCCTGCTCCTGGTGAGTTGCTGGGTATCTTGTCTCTTTTCCGAACATTAGGGTGCGCATCGACGGAAAAGCTGCAAAAAGCTTTTCAGATTTGTTGGCCAATCGGATGGCTTTTCAGATCCACGTGGTAGTCCAAGGTACATACCCAAGGAGTAGTATGGCTTGGAAAGTATCGTACCTCCTTCCTGTCGGTACTACATAGGCAACACTGGAGGCCAAGTAGGATTCGGTCGACGGGCAACCTTAGCATCATACAGTGAGGACGCTGCGTCACATCTTCGTTGAGTATGCTCTGCCTTCAGAAGGTTTGGGACCTACCTGGGCGGAGTTGACTTGATTCGGGTGCAAGAGGATGAACATTGATGTACGTCTGAGGATTGAAGAGCTGCAAAAAAGAGCCGCAAATCCGAGGTGGACAGTTTCTTGCCTTCTTGGCGAACCGTGTGCAAACGTAACGAGCGCACTTCCTCTTCTTTTCCAACAGAATCTGCTAAAAGTAATACAGCCTTTCTTTGTCACCGTTGTTTGACAAGCTTCGCACGAAGCTCCACCTGTTTCCTTTTCCTTAGTTTGACTTACTACGACCGGAAGTGGGACCTTTCTCTCCTTCTTAGTTACCGCTGCAACAAGGTTCACGATGACAACGCTTCCATCTCGCTGGTTTTGCAAGCTGCTCCATACCAGGGGAATTCCCCTTTTCCTGCCTTGAATCGAAATTTTCAATTGCTTCACAACGTCCTTCGCTGTGTGCTTTGTTTGACAACAGTCGGCAGCCTTCCCTGCCTTTCTAAAATTGGCCTGCCAAGTCGTAACTAGAACGACGGCTCTTTCTTCCGCAGGGCCTGCCCCCGCGCCCGCCGTTGTGGCCGCACCCCCTGCGAATGTGACAACCCCACCTGCGACTGTCAACACCAACAACGGCTCCAACACAAACGGCACCATCGCAAGCCCCCGAGACAGTGGCGGGAGCACAATCAGCGGAGGGGCGATTGCAGGTGCGAAGCCCTTATTAGCTGAAGAAATCAAAGTTGGATCTCAAAGGCGTTTGATTTGCTCTTCCCGTTTCTGGATGCTGTATGCGGGGAAGGAACTTGTGATGACTGAAGAAACGCAGTGTCACACTGGCTCTCTTTCGAATCAACCCGCCGAAGTGTAAGATCGTATTAGTCTGCCTTGAGCCAGATCTGGCTGAAAAAGAGAACGGTGTTGTTGGGTGGAGTCAAATGTTCACCTGTGTGCCTCAGTATCTACGAATGGTAAGGTGATGTGCCCGACTTTCAAGCCGATCAGATCAGTGTGCGCTGTGACGTCCAATAAGAGCTGAAAAGTCAGTGCTCATGGTTGATCTGCTGCCATGATTCTGACAATCTGACTAATTGAAGAGCAAGGTCTTTGGAGGAACAGGGAAGACGAAGCCTATGGGGTCGTGCTGTTTCGAATTACCGCCTTGTCTCGCTTTGCTCCGTGCTGGTCGCAAATACAACGACACGTTCATCCGACTTTCAGTGGGGCTGGGCAAGAGTCGCGTCAGATGTTGAGTTGTTTTCATCTTCTTGGTGCAAACCCCATCTTTGGTTTGCGAAGTTGCGTCCGACGGAGATGCTCATTCTGAACCACAGTTCGTGCTTTGAGCGCTCAGGCTATCACAGGTTGGTCAGTCGACATCGCAAAATAGCCGTCCGTGAGGATCACACGTCCAACTTGAACCAGAAGTTCCAAACTCAACAATAGTCTGCTGATGTTTGACATGCAATCGTACTTTCGTTACAGGCATCGTGATCGGAAGTGTTGCCGGCCTTGCTATCCTCGCCCTCCTAGCCCTCCTCCTGGCAAGAAGGTCCGAGCAGTCGAAGATTGCCCGCATGACGCAACGATCTAGGAACTCAGAGCCTTTGACGACCGCCTTGATTGGCGGCCAGCAAGGATTCAGAGCTCCTGTAGCGTCGCATGTCAGAACGAGGCCAGGACTTGAATCCGAAATTTATCCATAGAAATGTCGTGTGTTCGCGTCGAGTAGGTTGAGTGATAGTTGCCTAGCTTGCTTGCTTATTTAGAAAGTCCTTGAGACTGAGCTAGGTATAGTGTAGTAAGCCAATGCTAATTTATTGTCCAATTGACGCCCTTGCTACATTTGGACCTGTTCGTTCGTTTGCAACAAACTTGACTGAAAGCGGTGAAGCATGGCACTCCAGACTGTCCAGCATTTTGAGAGAATTCAGTATGCTTAGCTAGCTAGTGGCATGATCGGCTGAGAATCTTGAAAGTTGCACCCAGTCATCCCGGCCTCAGTGTGCTGCAAACGGGCCACATGGCCGGTGCGGTACGTTCAATCAAGCCCACGAGAGCAATTAATGATTCGATCCAAGTTTCATTCAATGTATTATGCTGTTAGTCCGGCCCGCTCCTCAAGTTCGGCGCGGTAGCTATGAATAAATCGGTCGTCTAAAAACTTGCATTGGTTATATTACACGATCGCTCACCTTCTACATGACATGTGCCCCAAAAGCTCGATCCTCACGTGACTTGCATCAATTTGATCGCCGTATAGCATGATGCAAGCGCTACAATGTGCAGTACAGTGATGACGGTCGACGATCAAATTATGCGCGTATACACATGCCTGGCTTGTGTCTAAATATATTGCAAGTGCATGCTAGCATACCGCCATCGTGCCATGCTCACATGGCATATCCCGGGCATCCCCAATCGCATGCACACTAGCTGACTGAGCTGCAGCTCGAACATGTCATTGGTGCACATCTATCATGCATGACCGGGTCAATGGTAGCATGCTGCAGCGTACGTGCACATGAGCCCGAGCTTGCCACGATGGAGGCGCGCGGCCGCTCTAAAATTTTTGGCCAGCTAAAACTCGAACCGTTGGCTGGTATGCGAATGGGCCACATAATGCTCGGTGTCTCATGTGGATACACTGCTGTACCACGTGCATGTCGCCCCAGATACCAGTGTGTCGTCTGACATGTTCGTCGGATGCGACTGAAGCAGCGAAGTTATACAAATCTGTAAAGCCGTGGCATGCATGTGCAGATCATGATGGCCAGGGCATGCAATGCAAACCGCGCACGTCTTCCCGTGCAATCTTACTCATCCGATTCGACTTAACATTTTACGTGGCCGCCCACTTTGAAGCCTTCACCTTTGTCTCCGATACTGCCAAAAGCAGAGTATTTATCCTAGAGCCTGTACATATACGATGCTGCTTGACCTGTACAAATTGCTACTCCAATCCGACGACCTCAGATCAGACCTACAAAGTGCTACTATGGATTCGTAGCCTCAAACTTCCATGTAAGTTTCCCAACTTGCGCTACCTGTATTCAACCCCGGAACATCCCTTCACGTTCACGGTAGCCCTTCTAACGTCCCAACCAACGATTGAGAAGTCGTCGCGCGATGCACTATGTTCGTTCAGTTGAGCATCGAAGGGGGCGGTGTCTGGAGCATCCTCTTCACCATGTCCATCCCAAACATCGACTCCGAAGAACTGCACGAAACAAGGGTAGATTCGAGAAAAGAGGTCAGGAAAGGGGACTCCTCAAATAAGATTTCAGAAACTTACAGAAGAGAAGGCTTCATTTGCTCTTTTCTCTAAAAGAGAGCGTCCTGTTACGGCCGCTTGATGATTTCTGCACCGGTGACTGCAACAATGGAGTGATGCGAGATGCCTGCAGATCGGTGCTCCCACCCCCGTTTCTAATGATCACCGAAAAAGTACAGCTACTTATTAAGGGCCAGCTTTGTCAGCGCATCCGCTCCATCCAGGAAAAGATACCAGTATTGACAGGGAGAAAGGCAAATGTCGGCTGAGAGGAAGAAACACAAGCCAATAGGCCTTTTCTGGCCCCAAATGGACTGAACGAAACCAGACAGTCAAACAGTCAGGAGGCTTTCGTCTGACGGTGGGCTGGTCCGACAGCCGGATGCTGCAATCAGCGACGCAAGCAAAAGGTGGTTGCGGACGTCAAAGCCGTCTTGCCCGATAGGCCCTTGTATTTTACAAGGGCTTTGTTGGAGTCGCTGACATAATGAGCGACCAATAATGAGCGACATTATGAGCGAGACATGTCGCTCATCATTTCAGAGATAATGTCGCTCATTATTGGTCGCTCATCATTTCAGCGACTCCAACAAAGCTTTAGAGCCCTCAGAACTAGCGACCATAACATTTGCTCGCCCGGAGTGGTGGTCTCTACGAAACCCAGAAGCATTGGAACATCCTCACAGGATTCCATGATAATGTTGAGCCGCTCACTTGGGAATGGTGATTTCATACGGGAACGACGCGACGTCCGAGTGGATCACGGGCGGTATGTGCTCCTTCTTCTCGTTCACGATTTGCAGCACTTGCAGCAGGACCTCCCGGAGGGATCCCTCGAGCGCGGCCTGCCGTCGGTTACGGTCCTCGAGCACCGCTTCTGCAGGACGATTGCGGTTTGGTTGAGTTGAGAGATGGTTAGGTTGAGGTTCGGTTAGGATGGGGTATGCTTAAGTTGAGGTTTGCTTGTACGTAACGGTGTGGTTAGGTTAAGGTTTGCTTAGGGTGAGGCTTGATCAAGTTGCGGTCCTCAAGTACCGCTTCTGCAGTGACGCCTGGAATCTGGTTGGGTCGAGTCAAGTTTCGGTTAGACAGACCCCTCAAACTTCAGCGTTTGAAACGGCTAGTTGGGGACGTCCCCTGACAACGGCTCTGTAGGCAACCGGTCATCTTCAGAAATAACGCGGAGCGCTTTGGCGGATACCAGACAGAGAAGTCGTCCCGCACCTGACGACTTCAGAAGAGACCTCCTCAAGCAGAGTCAATCCTACTGCGTGCTGGAAGCAATATTGGCGGCGCATCATTCGTGGTAGAGCAGCCAATCAAAATCTTCACTCCATTAGAGAGTCCCCAAGAGTTGAGCGAAAGACATTCTTCGACACGTTCTGGTCAACCTCCCCAACAGAAAAGCTTCTTCTCGGGCACTGCCTTTGCAGACAGCTGAAAGTGTTGATGGGCACCGGAACGAACACGACAGTTGGTAACGAAGAACAGAGACTTTTGATTCAGGGCTCCCAGATAACTTCGTGACAAACAGACTTCCAACTTCCGAGGAATCTCACATTTTCCCTTGCAGACCTTGATTCAAAAGTCACCGCTGCTGCAAAGCACATTTCAATTCTCCGATACATATTCTGTAACGTACCAAGTCTTCCTTCCTTTCCGTTTCGCAGACAAGAGACAAGATGCACAAGTTTCTGGCCTCTACACAAATCCCCTGCACTTAGATGCACTCGTGAAAACAGGAATCAGAATATTGGTCACCTGCTGAGTCCGTGAACGCCGAAAACTCCTGCTTCTGCGGCGCCGGTGCGTCCTCTTGCCCCGGCTTTGCCACGTTCAGGTTCACGTTCCACTGCTCCCAATACTGGCGCTCCACCTGCCGGCTGAACCAGATCTGCTTCGACTTCTTCTCGTTGTAGAATGACAGGCAGATCTGGCCCTTTCTGGTGGGATGCTTCTCTACCCAACCGCAAAACTGGTCTATCCGCTCCTCGATGCGCTTCTCGATGCTCGCGTCACCGCACTGGACGTACGTGATGTCGAAGAGCTCGGAGTCGACGTCGCGGGGGCGCACGAGGCCGAGCGCTCGGTTGAACATGATGGTGTGGAGGATGCCTGCAAGGAGCGCAGGAAGGATAGTGAACCGCGGGGCATTGATTTGAGACATTTGAAAACAACACACAAAGGTGTTGCAATAGGGTGTAGGTTGTCCTGCCGGGAAGAACCTGGAGCATCACATGGATATGATTAAGCATAATCAGCCGAGACTGGGTGGAGCAGACAAGCCAAGCATTATTGTCTCTGAAATAACGAGAGACCACTCCCAATTACAGGTTCAACAACTGTCGCTTTAACAGCCTACTGAGTCTCCTCAATTGCAGCTGGCTAAACGTCGTAAGCACCCGAGCATCATTCAGCTGCTCTTTTAAGTCACAGGCATTTTGGCAAGTCCAAGATTAGATTGGGCAACCGGCCCTTACGTGTTGTGAGCAGCCCAGTCCTCACAATCTCACGGGTTTCAAGCATCGAAGGAGTTGCCCTCAAAGTGAATATGAGAACAACAGATCATCCCATGGTTTGAGTACATACTGCCTTCAGAGAAGCATGCTCCAGAAAAGAGGGGATGAGCAACTTACATCTTAACACTTCCCTAACTTGATAGTGCTCGACATCCTGCAAGCATCATAATGGGAAAGTCATGAGCAAAGAAGCGGATTTAATCAAGGTGGTGTCCAGCAAGCCAGTCTGGCCATTCTATGTTGAAAAGGTGGTCAAAGTTGGTGGATTTTGGAGTCATCTATACGCATTGTGAGGCATTTGGCCCAAAACATTTTGCTTCTACCTGGCCAAAAAACGGTGCAAAATAAAATCCGCCAACAACTTATGTCATGACCTGATCTTTACTAAGCAGGCTTATGGAAAAGTTCCCCTGTATAGGTCCTCTTTTCAACCAGTGGACATAGAGGGCAGTTCCCAGGACCTCTGCGAATGGTTATGATAACAAACCCTAATCTTGTGCCATCAGAAAGCCTGTGTGATGACGTGCTTAGCAGGGAGAGCAGCCTTCAACCGCACAACATAAAGCAGGCAAGAAGCAAACAGAGCCGTTGGCAACTTCAGAACGAAAGGACTACCAGTTGCAAACCTTTACAAAGAAAGAAGAGACAAAAGATTGCTTCACTGTGGTTACAGTTACCTGACCATCTTTCTTGACAAAGGACATTACCTAACAAAGAGAGCAGGGAAAAGGACGTGAATAACAGTTTTACTTACGAGATCCTTGAGGTCAAACACTTCACAGTTCATTGCTCACAACCTTCGTAAGTTATGAGGTATAGCATCAGGCCGAGTCATGCTGGTCAGCTGTAACTTGTCATTGCTCCAGCACAATTGCTGCACAATCGTAAGGGTCGCCAGGATAACGCGACCTCCAAGGTTTAATAGTGGCGCACATTGAGCAAAGATGGCGTCTTCTTCAACTTCAAGTTCAAGTTCTAGCAGGCCATTAGGACTATGTCATGAACTTCGCTGGGCGAGCATGGTCGAGCATGCACTTGGGTTCAGGGATCCCCCCAAGGGCTTTCGACGACAAAGTCAAATTATTGGGGAGCATCTGCTGCAGAAAAAATCGAATCGAATTGTGTGCGTGAGTTGACGTCATGATCGCCAGAGAGAGCTTGGCCCAAGTATAGGTTTAACACTGGAACCGTAAGTGCTCACTTTAGTGAGCACCTATTGAAAGTCACCGCTTTTTATGGTCAATGTATATGATGGAAAGTTTTCAAGGCATAGGTGGACTTATGTACCTATAAGGGACCCAAGACACCAAAAATGTGGAAGATCCGCGCAATTTCCGGAACCATTTATCCTATAAACTTCCCTATTCCTGAAACAGTGTTAAAGAGCAAAGCAAGACAATTGTGACTAGGTAAACAGACTTTTCTTGACATTTTTTGACGTTTGTGTGTCAAAGGCACCCTAAAGACCCTAGAAATCCACTTTTGCAAAACTTCAACATGTTCGGGGGATCTTGGATGCATGCAAAACCACCAGTTTTACTCAGGTCAAATATGCTGGTTAGTAGCTGCTACTTTATGTGGGTTATTCAAAGAGTTTGGGTATGGAAACTTGGTAGGAGCCAAACCAACCCCCAAGAACCATCAGGCTACGCTGTCCAACTCAATTCCTCACAATTTGCGTACCCAAGTCCCTAAGTTTCAAAAGGGTCAGAATTGACAAATGGGGTTTGTAGATCTTGGGTTAACAACTTAACCTAACCCGTTGAGGGGGTAGTCAGGACCCATAGGGTCTGGGTTGACCATGTACCAAGTGGGTTTGAGAAATTTCTTTATATGACCCCCCGAAACATCAAAACCACAAGTGCTCACTTTAGTGAGCACTTAATTCTCCTGGTAAAAATGACACTATATTTGTCCAACTAATCTTCTATATTGACTTCACAATTGAAGGTCGTTTTTGATTTTCTTCAGTTTCAAGGGCGCTTTTAGTATAAAACATGATGTTTTGCAATGCCATAACTTGTTTTGCATCAAAAAGTCAAAAAACCAACACAGAAATGACGTCCGAAGCTTGAATGCAGATGCTCACTAAAGTGAGCATTTACTTACGGTTCTAGTGTTAAATAGACAGCTCAGACTCGGAGCTCATGTGCATTGGAGTTTTGGCATCTCATCCGCCTCAACGTTCACACTCCAACTGAGTTACTTCCATTCAGGTTCTTCTCCTTTATTATGTTGCATTGCAGCAATCTTACAGCGTATAGAAGCGCCAAAAATTCTACCTGTTTCGCCAGGGACTAAAGCCTGATCTGCGGGGGTCTTTTGTGGCTACTTGGGGGGGTGGAGGCTGAAGATTACAGTGGGGTCTTCAGGTCTCTGACAGAGCATTGTGCTATCAGAAGCAGTGGGTAGAATCTGTCCGCTCAGGCTAGAAAGCAATGTCACAAGCATGGGACTCAGCAACGAGGCGCCTGGACTGCTCTGGTAAGCTTGATTGTGACGACAGTGAACCTTTCTATTTGCTGATGGAACCTTACCTCCAAACTCAATCTGGCCTGCTGGAAGTGATAGCGTGGGTCACCATGATGGAAATCCTCATGCAGCAAAGACAATGAGTTGACTGCGCATCCAGGAAGCTGCAAAAGATGTTATATACTTGACGTTTCAAAAGCTTGGCGTTAGGCCTTAACTTCAACCCAATTGAAGCATGCGCATCCGTTGTTTGATCTTACTCCCTAAGTTTGAAAATCTGAGAGCCAGCAGATTGCCCTATCAGGTCTACGCGTATTCCTTGCTGTGTGCCGCTCACCTCGTGTACTCCTCTGACGGCCGTAGCCACTTGAACATGGTCACGTCTTGTTTGTACGTCGCATCAGATTCTCGATCTGCATTCAGCCTGCTTTGTGAAGTGCGACAAACCTCTTGCACAAATTTTGAGTCAACGGAAAGAGGATTTGCAGCTTTCCATGCGTGTCGAGCACCATAGCTTACTGATTGTTGCAGGCAGACCATCTGGCCCCCTGTCTGGCCTAAGCAGACAACACAACACCAATTCCTAAGGCCCCTGACGACTCTTCTTCTGCAGATCGCTTTGACGACGGGCTTTCTGCAAGGAGATTCCATCCTCGAGACAAGAAAGCAGCCAAGCCATCTGCGGTCGCAAGTACTCTAGCTCTAGGGTGCAACTCGTCTAAAAAACATCATGGTTGCGAACATGCAAGAGGTGGGTACATCCTTGCCCTGATGCTAGATTTTTCTCAAGCACCAGAACACGTCTCCATAAAATCAAACCCGTTTCAGTCAATCAGTCCTCGTTTTGATAGAGACCAAGGTTCCCGCAGTGGCTTGAGAAACATCTGCGACCCCACGGGCCATGGCAGGATCAAACCTGCACACTGCTGGTTGGTCTCACTTAAAAACTTGCCGCTGGTATGCAGAGCGAGAGGGAAATCATGCAGGTTCTGAAAGAAAATGAACAATCAGAGACAATCATATTGGCACCCAATGGTTGCTCCAAATACTTCAGCCTTTCGGTGATAATCACTTTCTGTCGCTGACCAAGTACACCACATGTTTTTCTAAAGTTGGCGGCTTGTCTAGATTTGAAGATGGCATCGAGATGGCGGTTTCCAGAACCAAACACTGTTGAAAGTAGCGCGCATCCCAATCCTGTGCCAAACGTTACCTCTATGTACAAAAGTGAAAGCTTTCTTCCCAAGCTCGTTGGAAGTTGAGCCTCCCAGGAAGGCCGTTTGGCAGCGCTAAAGCGCGATCAGTGTGGTTTTTCAGAGCGGTACTGATGCAGATGACTTTTTCCCCTCCTTTTTCTGGTATGTAGGCCATGGTGAGCCGTTGCAGCTGCTCAGGAACATAAACTCATCATATACATTTACACTTCGTAAGATCAGACAGAAGGTGTTCTGATTGACTGTTGCTTCTTCCTTGCCTGCAAGTTCGTACTTTCCCTTCGGCGTTACACCTTGAGACGCTGAGACGATCTGGAAGGGCGCATCTCTTCCTTATGCAAGTCTTCCCTTCTCTAAATTCGATTATCAATATTTCTTGCATTCTATCAGTGGCACTATCTGCACCTATCAAAGTGGTAGCTAATGATCTGCCCAGCAGGACTCCCCAGCAGTCCTTGTCAGCATGTTCCGAGCACACTTTCAACCAGAGAAGCTTTTCGTCTTGCCATTGGCGCATATGCTCATCCCGTCTCCTTGTCTCTATTCCAGGGTCGCCTCCAAACGTTCGTGAACCTGTACTGCAACCTCCTCGAGACCGGTCAGGTCGCCAAAGCGCTGAAGGAGCTCACCCCCGTCGTAACCAAAGCGGCAGAAAGCGCTCGCAGCTGCGGCGCGACGATCTCGAAGCCGTCGAGAGAGTACAAACGGGTACGCGCGCGCTGGACCTCTTCTTTGACCGCGCGTTGGGGCTCACCAGGGAAGGGAACAAGACGGACTTGCTTCTGCTTTCGGGTAATCTGCACAACCTGCGGCTTATGTCGCTCTGCCCAGAGTTTGCCGCACTTTTAGCAAAAGCCGGGGTCCTCACAAAGCTGAGGCCGCTTCTGCTGCACACTGTCGAGTGGCTGAAAACGGACAGCATCCTAGACCCCAGGAAAGAAGCGGAGCGAATGGTCGCGGGGGAGGCGTTGCGAGTCGCCGCGACAGCTGTCAACGACGACGACGAAGACGCGCTGGCGGTCGTTAACGAGAGCGGGCTTTTTTCTCGACTCC